ATATAGTCTATAATTACTACTATATAGTTATCCCGCACAACGTCCGGGTACTGCCCTAGTTATTAGAAATTTAAACCATGTCATATTTGTTTATAGATATGTCATAATTTTTCCATGACAAATCATAGGTTCGAACCATAATTATTTTCGGTAATTGTATTTCTCTTTTAACAGGGAAGGAGATTGATCAGGTTAAAAAAGGCATTGAATAAAACTCTCCGATGCCGAACATTGTCGTTGATTGGGATTCTAATTTTGAAGGCCTATTAAGGGCCCTTCTTGACCTATCTGGTTTACGTTTTACGACGGTGCCGCTGAGGCTATTTCGGTAATTTTCAACGTCTCCTTTCCTCGATCTTCAAGCATCATCATTCAGAATCATCCACAAACTCTGTCGTCGTCCGCAAGAAAAAGAACAAAACTCTCCGTCTTCGCCGACAATATATCCTCTGGAAACCCTAATCTCTGGGCTATTTAGGGTCTTTTTTCTCTTAAAAGATAAGATCCTCTGTAATTGAAAGGCTGTTGTTGTCGGAAGAGAAGATATGGGTGGTTCGTCGGAGACAAAGATCCTACAAGAACTTATACTTTACGCGGCGAGCGCTGCTATCAGCTGCTTGGTTCTATTCGCGGGACTCAAGCATCTCGACCCTAATCGTGAAGCGACTAAAAAAGCTCTCGAGCATAAGAAGGAAATCTCCAAGCGTTTAGGTCGTCCTCTTATTCACACCAATCCATATGAGGTCATTCTTTAAATTCCCTATGCTTCTTACTTACTTATCAAGGAATGGAATTTATATGGTTAGTGGAAGTTTAATTCCCTGGTCTCTCTGTTTTCACCAGTAAAAGTTGTGGACATTTTTGAGTTCCAGTTGTTGTGGGCAAGCTCATCATAATGCTCATTTGTTTCTAATTTTTGTAAACAGGATGTAATTGCATGTGATGTGATAAATCCAGACCATATTGATGTGGAGTTTGGTTCTATTGGTGGATTAGAGACCATCAAGGAGGCTTTGTATGAGCTTGTGATTTTACCATTGAAGAGACCTGAGCTTTTTGCTTTTGGGAAGCTGCTTGGACCTCAAAAAGGGGTCTTGCTTTATGGCCCTCCTGGTACTGGAAAGACAATGCTTGCTAAGGCTATCGCAAAAGAATCAGGAGCTGTTTTTATTAATGTTAGAGTTTCGAATCTGATGAGCAAGTGGTTTGGAGATGCTCAGAAGCTTGGTAAGTGCACACTTATATTTTGAGGCAAAGTAACTCACTTTGCGTAGGCTTATCTTTGTGCTCTTGTGTTCTAGTTCTTTTGGTGGTTTGAATTACACATTGGACAGAATTTCTTTTTGTTGTTGTTATCCCAATTGCTGCTTTCTTTGATTTCTTGATTGTGTTGTTAATCTATGAG